ATAATTCAAAAAAATATAATACAATTTAAAATATATCAAATTATATTATATTAACTCTTAAAAAATATTAAGTTCTCTAATATTTAAAATTCTTTTCTAATGTAATAATTCTTATTTAATAATTTATTGCATTTCATACTTTAAAACATAATTCCTATATAATTAAAGTACTCTTTTTTTTTTTTTAATAATTTCCCTTAACACTCGGGTTGACTGCCTATGGGCCTCCCAAAAAGTTAAAAAAAAAAAAAACACTTGACCCTCGGCCTACAAAAAAAAGCCCTAACACGTTAAAGCAAATGGAACATCTTCCCTCAAGCCATCTTTCAATTCAGTCACTCTCACTCACAGGTTTCGTTTCCATTCTTAGTCCGTTCTTCACCCTCTGTTTCAAACATGACTCTGTCCTTCTTTCACTTCGTTTTCTTTCTCTGTTCAGCGCTTTCTCGTCGGAGCCGCCATTTGTGTTGAAGTTTCTGAAATTTTAGCGGGTCTGACTTGATTATATTTTGAAGGAGTTACTCTGTCTTTCATCTTCTCTTCATCGTGCACACCTATTTCACATGGAACTCAGTTTCTGAAATTGGAAATTGTTCAATTCTGGTTTCGCATTGATTGAAATTGTAATGTTTCTGCGGCTTTCCGTGATTTTGTGAGAGAAACCCAAGGAATACTCTTTACAAAACCTTACTAAAAACTATGTATCAAGAATTCTGCACGTGGCTAATAAGTGGATTAGTTATTCCAATATTTCTTTTTGGTCATTAAATGTGTGTAATCTTGACTTGATTGAGTAATGTAGTCAACCTGATTCATGATCATACACGACACTACCTAGAGATAGAACAAGTAACAGAGTTAACAAACATAACCATACAAGAGTTCAAGAATTTAGCTTGATGAACGCGAACAGAGTTCTAACAAATTCAACTAATAATATTTAAAAATCAACTGTACTGTAGCTAGAATTGCTGTTAAGTGAAGTGGGCATGATTGTTACTGTAATTATCTTGAACTATACTTTATTGTACTGTACTGTATTGTAGTTATAATTAAAAGTTAATTTAGTATTTAATTATTTATTTTAAAAAAAATTATGGATAAAATATGATA